TGGGAAGCCCTGGGCAGGGATCTGTGGCCAAGCTGGGTGGCAGCAGCCCTCACCTCAAGGTATGAGTTCCCCTCTTGGGGTTCCCAAGTGGATTGGAAATGGGCTTTGCATTGTCATGTGGTATCGTGGCCATCTGATAGCTTCCACTGGGCCCTACCTGACTGACTGTTGGAGAAATGAATGTGTTACTCTAGGAAACGTCTTAGAAGGAACGAAAACTAGAAGATACGCTGATCCTCCTCATACTTCTTAAAACACAAGCGTATCATAGAATCACAGAACGGCCTGGGTTGAAAAGGAGCACAATGCTCATCTAGTTTCAACCCCCTACTATGTGCAGGGTCACCAACCACCAGACCAGGCTGCCCAGAGCCACATCCAGCCTGACCTTGAATGCTGCACTTCCATTTTGTTTGCTTAATCTGCACAACAGAGAAATAAGCATGAAGATGCGCTGCAGATGTATTTAAAACAAAACAAAACACCACCTTAAAATCTCTAAGTATGGTCTATTTTGTTACTCTGCTCTGACCTATAATGCCCTTTGGGTTTTGAGTGTTTCAAATGGGTCTTTTCTACCAAAGCAACCTGGTTGCCTTGTGTTCTTTCTGCTTTTGTTGCATAAAAAATTGCTCCCTTTTGTGGTAAAATCACACGTGTATTCAAGCAGATGTAGGACAACAAATGATGGCAAGCCATTAGGAAGCACCTCTCGAGAAGGGGAAAAGAAGCAGTGGAGAGCTTGGGCTGCAAGAGGCAGTGCTTTGTCACCATGGCCACCACCATCCCGCTGTCCCTGTGATCCAGGGACACAGGTGTGGAAAGTGAGCTAGCTGTTCTGTTTCCTGTGGCAAATTGTGGTTTGTTTTGTGGGTTTTTGTCATGTGCTGAGATGAAGCGTAATGGAGCTCGTGTTTGCACCTTAACTATTTGTGTGCTGATCACCCTTTGTGATCTGTATTTCTGTTTGTTTAATCCTACCTCATGGAGCCAGGTGGGAACTTATGTGAATCCAAAGGAGAAGAGAGGGTGAGATGGAGATGTACTGCGAGCAATCAAGCTGCTTTCAGTGTTTGTGCAGGAAGATGCATTTCTTGCCCTCTGATCACATCCATAGCTGTGCCCTGTTCCTCAGCATTTCAGACAGCTCTGCAGGATTCACTGTGATCAGCACAGCTCCTGGAGGAAATCTTCCAGCTTTCCAGAACTGGCTGCTGGAAAACATCACTCCTATCAGCTGGGTGAAGAGACTGGAACAGAATCCCATAGGAATCATAGCTTCTCCTGAACCTCGCTGCCTGTTTAAACATGGAGCAGAGAGGCCAGGTTGGATGTGGTGCTGGGCAAGCTGCTCTAGCGAAAGGTGTGCCTGCCCATGGCAGGGCTTTGGAACTGGGTGTATTTTAAGATTCCTTCCAATCCGGCCCAAAGGCAGCTGCAGAGCTGAAAGGAATGGGTTTGGTCTCTATTTCCACTAGGAACAGTGTCAGCAAGGGAATCTACGTGGGATGTAAGAACATCTCCCATGGGTAGGAGGAGAGACACCAAAGAAATAATAGAGATTTTAGCTTCCGTGCTGGCTAAGGACAAGGTCATGAAGTCTGCTGGCTGCACCGGGTGGAGCTTCCATCAGATCTGTGCACATCCCTGCCTTCTTGGCATCTCCCATTGCTCAATGGGTACCAGAGACTGCATTTTCCTGGGGTGATGAGAGATGCAACCAGCGTCAGCTGCTGCAGGAACATCCCTCCCTTCTGCCTGCAGTTGGGTCCAGCAGCCACAGCACCCACATTGCCCACCTGCTTCCGTTGTCATCCTTTAATCCCTCCACACGCATTCCTGCAGTGTGAAAACCTCAGCATCTTCCAAGATTTTGTTTTTGCTTTTTTGTTGCCATGTGGATTGCTTGCCTTGCCAGCTCCTGGGCACCTGCTCAGGGTGTCCCAGCTGGAGCAGAGGGCTCTACCAGCCTCGGCCTCAGCAGGCAGCTCATGGAGAGCAGTGACTGCTGTAGTACATCAGCAAAGCTGGTCCTGGTCTGCTCTGGGATGGTGTCTGTCTTCCTGAGGAGATCTCCAGCTCAGTCCTTCCAAGGACTGGTTCCTCTGTTGCTAAATCTGGCCTGGGGCTGCATGGGTTTGTCCTCTCACTGGAGAAGCCGATGGCTTTGTGACCCCATCACGATGATGGCTTGGTTACAAAAAGTGAATTTAAGAATAATTCATCAACTCTGTGAACTTCGGGTCTTGTAATGCTTTGCAGACAAGAAGTTGATTGTGATTTAAATGCCATAATCAAGTGTCAGAAAGGTGAGGGAAGCCAATTAATTAACCCTTGTAAATGCCAAGGTGTATTTAATTGTAATTTATCATTTGTTGTGGCCTTAATTGCACGGCTGGTGTTTAATACCATGTGGCAATGGTGTTTTAGGCAGTGGTGGCAGATGAAGTTTAGCTCCTGTTTCTGTGAGCTACATGCAGTGAAGCTTTATAGGTGGTATTATTTAGGAGGAGGAAATGATTGTACACCTCTTAGGTGTATTAAAGTCATAATGATGACATTTCTCTGCATTTTCTAACAGTTGCTTTTGCAAACTCCTATGACGTAAAGCCTAGATGGAGCTCTGAGCACCTGATGGAGCTATCCGTGTCCCTGTTCATTGCAGGGAAGTTGGACCAGATGGTCTTTAAAGATTCCTTCCAGCTCAAACGATTCTGTGATTCTGTAATGTTGAAAAAAAAAAAGTTATTCTTAGCATTTCTCATTCTCGTTGGCCTTTCTGCCCCGAGGTGTTCCTGTGTCTCTGCCTTACAGCTCCTCTTTGAACCGTCCCTAGGCAGTGGTTCCAGTGCTCCCCTTGACCCCACAAAGGCCCCTGGTCCTATTTGATCTTGGGATGCTCACCAAAGCCAAGGGGACGCAGGGCTGGGACCCATCAGAGTAGGCCCTGCCTCTTACTAGTTGTTGTCAGCCCTATGAAAAGGTTCCTGGGTCATCAGGTGTATCCTTTCCAACACTGTACATCCTCCTGTATGCATACAGAGATTCTTCTTTTTGGTGTCCCCAGAAGAGGTGGCCGTCCTTGGACGTACTTAGAATGGCTGCACAGTGTCTTCAGCAACCTGCTGTAACCTCAGAGCTGGCCCTGCCTTAAGCTGTGCTTTGAAAGATGTCCTCCCAAACTCAGCTGTCCCGTGACTTGGCTTCTTCTGCACATAGATATAACAATGGCCTCCAGATTCAAGTCAGAGAAAAGCAGATCATATTACCAGCTGAACACTGATGATAAGACCAGGGAAACAGGGCTGATACAGCTGTGGGGAGCTGCTGGGGTGGCAGCTGTAGGAAGCCAGCATCCAGGAAAGCTGTTGGGAAAGGTTCCCCTGCAGAATCTCCACAGTAAAGAAGTGACGGCCCAAACGGCTTCCTCCAACCCTCCACGCTGCTCTCTTTGCACCAGTGAGTTTTGACATGCAGTATTTAAGTGCTGTTGTGCAAGGATTTTATTAGGACAGAGGAGGCTGGATAGATTTACCTGTTGTAACGCGCTCTGCAGCACAGGAGGAATGAACAAAGAAGAGAACCCTGTGGTGTTGTTTCAAATGTTACGAGCCAGCATCGTTCTGGCAGTCTCTGTCTCTACACACCAGGAGCCAGCTGTAAAAGCAGCAGCAGCACAGCGTTTCAATCTGCACTGAGCTTAATACGCTGCTGATCCCACAGTGTCCAATGGCCTATCTTGTACCATGAGAAATGTGAGGCCGCAGCATCAGCAAACTGGGTACGGAATATTTTGGGGCACAGCAGTGTAACAGAGTGATTTGCACTGCACCCATGGGTCTGCTGCTCGAGGACACCATGTGTCCTTTCCACGTGCTGCACAGACAGCCTAAGTTTGCTCATCTTGTATAAGTGCAGGTGCTTGAGGACTATTTTATCAGATATAAATAATTCTTCTGTCATGGTGCAGCTAAAAATTATGACATTTTTCACTTGGATTTTTTTATGGAGAACTTCTTATATGTGGTCTTGTCAGATTCTGTTTGTTCGTGACCATTTGAACTCTGCATTCCAGCTGCTGCCTCCTATGAAATGAGACCAACGGCTGGGTTGTTAATTCTTAGCACCATAAAATGCACTGTTAGAAGAAGACTTCTTTATGCATTTTTCTTTGGTGATTATTCTAGGTTGAAGTTCTTCTGTGAAAGCACTTGATTTCTGCTAGCAAAAACGTTCTACCTTCTCTCTCTCCTCCCCCCCCCCAACACTTCCATTCATTTCATAATAGAATTATAGAATCATAGAATCACAGAACATTCCCAAGGATCACGGAGTCCAACCCTGGCTCCACAAAGCACCACCCAAAATTCAAACCCTACATCTGAGAGTGTTGTCCAGATGAACTCCTTGAACTCCAGCACTGCCCTGGGCAGGCTGTTCCATGCCCACCGCTCTCTGGTGCAGATCCTGTCTCTAGCCCCCAGTTGCCCCTCTCCTACCATCTCTGTAGCCCTCCTTCAGATGCTTTCTAATAGTTTTATGTCCTTTTTGTGCCCAAAACTGCATCCAGTGCTTGAGGTGAGGCTGCTTCACTGCAGTGTAGGGCAGACAATCCCTTCCCTCAGCCATCTGGCAATGCTGTGTTTGATGCACCCCAGGATACGGTTGGCCTTTCTGTCTGCCTGGGCACACCACTGACTCAACCCTGACTAAGAGAATTTTGGGTGCAGGGAGCCCTCAGGCATAAATCTTATGGCTCCTTGCCCCCCGTGGCCTCAGTGAGAGCAGATGGAGCCCTCGCTGCAGCAAGGGCTCCTTGCCCCAACCTGAGCTGCACATGATGGGCATTTTGGGTGCCCAGGACATGGTGAGCATGGGGAGCCCTTTGGCTCTCAGTCTGCCCACACGATGGTTTCACCTGATTTTAAGATATCCCAGAGATGGGGCTTCACCTTGACCCCCAGTGTCTTGCCATGCAGGCATTTCCAAACACTCAGAAGTCCAAATTTAATTTCTTTATATTTAAATATAATCCAAGGGAAAACAGGTGCCATTTTCCTGAAAACAGCATTCACTAAAAATAACAGAAGGAAAGAATGAACCAAGACAAGAATCACAGAATGTCTTTGGTTGGAAAGGTCCTTTAAGTCCTCTAGTTCCAACCCCCAGGGAACAAGGAATTAATACACACGCATTGTCCATCAGCACTAATCCTGATTGACTTCCATGGCTTGAAGATCATACCCACAGGTGACATCTTACAGCCGAACAGCTGCTGCAAGTCCTGCTCCACCAGGGACGTAGTGTGAGCTGGGAGGAAAACAAAACCCTTCTGTCTCTTGTAGACACATCTGGCAGAGCAGAATCCTGTTCTGAATCCGGTTCAGCTGAGGGGCTGCTCTAGGGCCAGGGATCCCTGCCTCACGCCCCGGAGCAACTCCCCCAGCACCCCCAGGATGTCTTGCAAGCCCTGCCCAGTGTGGGCACTGCATCCCCGCAGCATCCATGGGTGCCCTGCCAGCCGTCCCCTGCACAGTTGCTGTCCCAGCTCAGCGGGAGCCATGGCCCCTGGCAGCTCCTGCTTGTTGGCCAGGAGGAGGACAGGGACCTCAGCAAGACCAGGGTGGCCCAGGGTCTCCTCCAGCACCGCCAACGCTTCAGGCAGCCGAGCCATGTCTGCGCTGTCTAGCACAAAGACCAGGATGTTGGTGTCCTCCAGGTAGTGGTGCCAGCTGGCCCGGAGGTTGGGCTGTCCCCCAACGTCCCAGAGGTTGAAGGACATGCCGCAGGGCGTCCGCATGGCCTCCACGTTGAAGCCCACGGTTGGGCACGTCTCCATGGTCTGGCCGCCCTTCAGCTGGTACAGGATGGTAGATTTCCCAGCGAGGTCAAGGCCCAGCATGACCACACGCGCGTCTCTTTTGCGCCAGCCTTTGGAGAACAGCTTCCCCATCGAGACACTGTTGCAGCCAGTCAAAAAATATAGCTAAAATAAAACGTATTTCTTGGATAATATCAGTGAATAGCAGAGCACTCCGTCCTACCTCCCTTAGGATTGCTGAAGGAGGAAACAGGCAGCCGGCCCTGGCTTCTCCGCGCAGCTAGACCAAAGCAGAGCTGTTATTTCAGAGGCATGGAGCGGAGCCAAGGAGCACAGCCCAGAATTACGGCTTCTGCACTCCCGCCCCGCCGCCTCCTGCCTCCATCCCGCCCACAGCCCTCTGAGAGCTCCGCCAGCATCCCGCAGGAAGAGCCGGGCACAGCAGGCTTCCTCCCAGCGGGGCAGGAATACACCAGCTTTTGTTCATTGGCTTCTCGAGGGGAAATCCACCCCCAGCCGGACAGGAGGAAACCCGGGCTGCTCTGGGAATGTGCTGAATCACAGCTCAGGGGTGTGGATTTCAACACGAGCCACAAGACAACCGACAGTTTGCAGTCTTACGACCGCACAACACAAATCTCAGTTCGGCGTTGGTTTTCACGACCTGCTGCACGGTGCTGATGGATTTAAAGAGATGCATGCAGACAGAAATTTTAGTGTTTGGCGGAAATACGACCAGCACGAAAATCCATAAAACTTATTGCATCAAGATGCTCACTACATTTTGACTTCCGTAAGTAAGGCAGTCAGTCCTCCGACACTGGGGGCGGGGAAAGAAATCTCTGCTCAAAAAGTTTACCAAGATGGCACCACTCTAACTTACACACCAGAGGCAGACACGGGCTGCTGAAACGGCAGAGCTTCTTGTGCAAGAGCAGCAGGTGGCAGCCAGCAGAGCCTGGCAAAGTGGATGGTACCCCCATCCGGTGGGTTTCTTGCCCTACAGCTGCTTGAAGGCACGCTGTGCTGAAGCAGCCATAAATCTGCAGAGCAGAGCAACGCTCTCCAGGTTTCCCAGAAGGAAATGTGATTTATGTGTTTTTCCCCATGCATCAGCAGGAGATGTAATTTCCTGGGTGCTGCTGTGCCTGGCAGCTCCGTGTCACATGGCACCACTGCTGGGACAAGCCCAGCACTGCAGCATAGGGAGGTGGCCGTCTGGACATACAGACAACTTTGGCAGGTGTTCCTATGAGAAAAGGCTGAAGCACACCCCGTACAGCTGGGGCTGGGAGGCACTGGGACCACCAGAATACAGAAACAGAAAAAGAGAACTACGATAAGGAGCACAGTGATCCTAACCCTGCAGCCCAAGGGCTGCCCAGTGGCCCGAGTCCTTTTCCTTAAAGGAGTTAAATCGGTGCCTGGCTCCTTAACCTATTTCTCCTCCAATCTGAGGAAACCTTCCTCCCATGTTGCCTTGGGCTGTGAGATCAACACAGTGGGTATTTTGTGATGTGCCAATGCGTGCCACCAATTGCCCCTTGAATCTGTGTTTCTCTGCCTTTGCTGCTGCTCTGCTCTGAGGCTGGACGAGTGAGTGGTACGGATGATCTGTTTCATTCTCATATCCCTGGTAATGAACACAAGTCTGTTCATTTTCTTTCTCCCTGCCACTTGTTCTAGTCATGGAGGTGCAGTAGATGCCTGCAGAGTCTGATCCACCCACAGCTGTGCTATAAAGGCATCATATTCCAATAAATAATACATGGGTGCAATTGCAATTCTGTGTAAGAGAGAAAAGAAAGTAAAAGCAGATGAGACAAGCTCTTGAGTGAATCTATTGCTGGAGCAGGAAGGCTGTACACTAAATAATTCAGAAACTGTGTTCAGAGGTGAGGGCAACCCTTACTCCAGCTATATCTTTTGTGGGCAGAACAAATGCTCTCGCCTTGTTTTTCATGTCTCTGAAGCAAGGATGGCGGTAGTTAATTCTGCTTATAATTAATAGATTCATAGAATAATTAAGGTTGGAAAAGACACTGGGATCATCTGGTCCAACTGTCAGCCCACCCCCACCATGCCCACCATCCATGTCCCTCAGTGCCACATCCACACAGTTCTTGAACACCTTCAGGGATTGTGACTCCACAAATTAAAATATAGCTCTGACTGTCTTGAAAAGCCTGAATCTCGATTCTTCAATTATTTTTTAGCATGTCTAGGTGAAAAGGGGGGAAAAAAATGAGCAAAAAATGTTATCTGGGCCAAAAAAGACTTTTGCTCAATCCTTTCTTGTACCTTTTACTATTTGCTCCTCCATCTGTTGAGCATCAAAGTTTTGAAGCTAAGATAGCTTTTTTTATACACTGTTCCTTCAGTTTCTGTTAAAAGGAAGCCCTACAGAGGGAATCCACGCTGCCAACCTATTTGTACTACGTATAGGTAGCTTCTTATCTGAAACTGTTAATTCTATGGGAAGTAAAAATCACAGCTTGCAGGTAACTTGGTGAGGCTCTTCTCTGTAGATCTATCAGGATGAAAGTCTGCTTTGAAATACCCAAATCCGGGTTTCTTTTGTACCTTTCTATATGATACGATGGATGAAAGCGAAGAAAACCTGTGACAATTGATTTTAACTGCATTTTCTCGTGCTCACCACAGAGTGTCACTGTTGCCACACTTTTCTCAGCGAAGATGCCGTCTCCAGAGGCATCAAACAGCTGCGGCCAAACCACTGGTGCTGGAGCTCCCTGCTTCGGTGAGGGGAGGGCTTCCTTTGGCATCCTTCTGTGACCGGATCTTTGAAACAGGTTTTCCTGAACAGCTCTCCATATATTTTGTGAACCTATTTATAGAACGATTTGGGTTCAAAGAGATCTCAAAGAACACCTAGTTCCAACCCCACTTCACATTCGCAGGAAGCTGACGGCGAGGACTGCAGAGCAACACGAAATAAGGTGGCAGTTATAGGTGATATTTAGCTTCAGATCATTTCATCTGGCATCATATGCTAGGACTCTGCAGCTAACTGATGGAAAAGGTTATGCTGAACAAAGAGGAGAGAAACAGAAGAATTTTCTTTTGGTATCCTTTAACAGTTCATTGAGAGTTGCCATCACGACTCTGTGCTGTAGTTGCTTACAGAGCTGCAGATACAGACAGATCTTTTTTATCCAAGGCAGACAAAAGGCAGTGCATTCTATCTATTCTTTTAATGTGCTCCTAGGAATGAATCTGATGATTCAGGTTACAGTAGGGCTCGTGGAGCAACTCAATGCTGTGCTATTGTTCCTTTTGAATTTCAGATGCTCTGAGTTTAATCACTGGAGAAAAGCATTTCATCTGCTCTGGTTATCAAAAGAGATGCAAGTCGAAACGATCAGTGCGAGAGAGATAGCAGCATCTCAGCTAAGTCACCCTGAGCTAACTCATCCAAGTCAGCAATGAGTTACAGACATTGGCAGCACACCGTGTTATGCAATAATTGTTTCTATTCTTAAAGCAAACAAAAAAGCCTCTGAATATCATTATTTGGCCCGGTTGATCTGTTTAGAGCTTTTCTAAAGTTTCCAGTCTGTCATAACTTTTCCAAGACGGATATAAGGCTTCATATCCCCTTTCCTTCTGGAAAAAAAAACACAATGAGAGAAGAGTGGTTTTGTTATTGTTTGTTTTTATGAGAAGGAAAACAAGGGAACAGAAAAAGAACAGAACTAAGCAGCATCCACTAGATTATTAAGTGCATTCCACTTCTTATAAAGCACTTGTATCTGTTTCAGCCCATTGTAAAGCTCAGGCACCAGTATAAACCAACTGCAATTACCCTGAGGTGTTTGAGGACTTGCTGCACATGTTAATAACTAGCAATAACACCAAGAAACCTGAACCCATGTGAATAAAAAAACTCCACTGGATGCTGTGTACCAGTACTTGCTTCAAAAAAATGGGTTTCTCTATATGATCAGCAGATCTTTTCCACAGTTCTAAGTAGGATCAAAGTTCTGTTTATGTAGCCTCACCTTCTCACCATCTCCTAGCAGTGTCAGGAAAGGCAGCTATCCTCAACAGATTATTTGTTTGTGGGGACAAAAAGATGAGCAGAAAACAGACACATGTAGGCACTGCTATTTCTGCAGCAAAAAGAAAATCATCAATGTGTTTAGGCATACTGTAGCAATCCCCTTTCTGGCTCTTTTAGAGCTTCCCACTGAGGCTCTGACTACACTTTTCCACATATCTTATCTATGCTTTGACTTTGCAGCTCGATGCTGCACAAGCTACCCAGCAGTGTCTTCCCAAGGCCACAGCAGCACAGCATGCAGGAACTTGGCAGGGAACATCTTTCTACCCCTGGCCTCCTGCTGTGCCTTCTCTGCCTCGGACTCCAGGGCAGAATTTCTTCAGCATCGCTGATTCCCTCTCACAGCAACCCTTCTGGATTTGACTCCTTCGGTGCTGAAATTATGATTACTCTTTAATGTACTCTTTCTCGTAAGCTGGCCATACCCAAACACAGGCTGATGCCTCTTGCAGGCCCTGCCATGCTGCTCCACAGCTCCCATCAGTCAGCTCCATCTGAGGGTGGTGACGCACTGGAACAGGTTGCCCAAGGAGGCTGTGGATGCCCCATCCCTGGAGACATTCAAGGCCAGGCTGGATGTGGCTCTGGGCAGCCTGGTCTGCTGGTTGGCGACCCTGCACATAGCAGGGGGTTGAAACTGGGTGAGCATTGTGGTCCTTTGCAACCCAGGCCATTCTGTGATTCTATGATTCTCTCTGCTGTCGCAAGCCCCCGCTGCCCCGTGACCCTGAGCACGGCCAGGAAAATAAGGAAACTTGAAGCAGCAGCAACCATTTCCTGGTAAGAGCCTCGTCGAACAACAGCAGGCTCTCTTGGGAGAGCAGCTCTGCACTCTTCCCTTTCCTGGATCCTCCCTACAGCTGTGTCCCGTCCTTGAGCTGCAGCTATTAACACGCAGCTGTAAAGACAGAAAACGTCAGTACTGAGTAAAAGCGGAGCGTGAACGCTGAACTAAACGCCTCTAAAACCCCCAACCCCGCCCCGCCCGCTCGCTGTCCCTCACAGCGCCGGGAAGGAAAAACAGACGGCGGTGACGTGTTCCACCCCTTGGAAGCAAAACACCAATAGGCGACGAGGAAGATGGTCACGTGACGGCAGGCGCGAACAGTCAAGCGGGAAGGGGGGTTGGGGGGGAATAAGGGGGCGTGTCACGTGACGCATCGCCCTCCGTCCTCTTCTGGTCGCTGTCACGTGCGCCGTGCCGGCGCGCGCGCTGCCGTGGGGCGGCTGCAACGGTCGTAACGGCCGTAACGGGCGCTGTGTGTGGAGGGGCCTCGGAGGGAGCAGCTCCGGAGGATGCGGCAGCGGCCGGGTGAGGAGCGTGAGGTGTCTGTGGCCCGGCCGGCTCTTCCCGCCTGCCGCTCTT